TGTCAGCGGGTTTCTAGCCTGCTCGCCACGATAGCTGTGGAACGGGCCGCTGTGTGCCCGTTCTGCATTGCGGTCATCGGAAGCCAGGCCCTCAGCGGGGCGGGCTTTCGATGATCGCAATTACAATCTGCCCGTCCAAGGTGGGCAGATCGTACGAGCTTTCAATAAGCATACGACCATCGCAAGACAAAAGTCTTGCGATGGTCGTAAGGTGTATGGGCACCTTTAGAAGCCCTCTGCTGTCCACCAATGACCACCAAGCAGTCCAGAGGCACCCACCTCAATCCAGTCCCCAGTCTGTAAGCCTTTTGATGCGACACTGCCTTATCATTTGGGATTCCACCAAATACTTCAACAATCTCATCTTTATGCACTTACCCTTGTTGCTGCTTTCAAAGAGAATGTAACAAGAACCTTTTTTTTGTGCAAATACTTGCACAGAATAAATAGTCACAGAGATCTGCAGTGTCATTGGGTCTGGGAATAGTTCATAAATAGACCTTGTTTTTGGGTTTACATAGACATTAACTATTCAGCAATGATATAACCAGACTTTGACATACATACTTTCGTCTGAAATTTAATTATCTTCTTTCAATTCATCTTATACTTTTAATTTTTATCACATTCATCTTTCAGGTATCATGCTCTGGTGTTACTGTTAAAGGGTATCCATGTCTTGGACTATGGCATATTATTATTGCACCCCATAGCTAGTGATAAGCTCTTTAAAGTGAACAAATATTTTAAAGCAAAAAACAAAAGAAAAGTTATTTCCGATTTGACTCAAACTTTGAAATGCTTTTCCCATATGTTACTGATTTAAAGAACATGCTTGCGTTAATGCATTGGTGTGAGGGGCCCTTTAAAACAACCATTGTATACCACTGTAAAGCAGAACCGGTATTTGTAATGAGCATATATGGCTGCCCTCATGTACCTATATTATAAATTGCTATATACAAAAAAAAATATTTTTTCAGAACATGAGGACTAGGGATGTTTGGATACCGGTACTAGCATCGGTATCTGGACCGATACAGGGCATTTTGACAAGTACTTGTACTTGTTAAAATGCCTCGATACATAGCGTCGAAGCTTGCGCTGTTTTTTTTTTTTCCTCTGACCTCGGCGAGCGTCACTGCTGCTCCGGTGGGCGGCGCTCCAGGTGGGGTCCTCATTTAGGTGGCCGGCGACTGCCCAGAGGACCCCACCCCGAGCTCCGCCCACCGGAGCAGCAGTGATGCGACGCTCCTTCAGCTCAGCACCGCCCTTCAGTGCCGGAGTGGTGAGTCAGCGCTGATCCGGTGGGAGGAGCTCCAGATGAGATCTTAATTTAGCTGGCCGGCACCTCTGGGCAGCTAAATTAGGACCCCACCTGACCAGCGCTGACTCGTCGCTGCTTTCACGCAGTGAATGAGGCCAAGGGGAGGTACTATTAAGCATAGATTTACAATTGTCCTCTGCTAACATGAATGGATTTAATGATCCATATGTAGCCCTGTACTATGGATCATTTAACCCATTCATGTTACCAGTGCAGAATTGTAAATCTATTGCTGCAGTGCATTCTATATGTACTGTATATATACAGTACATATAGAATGCACTGCAGCAATAGATTTACAATTCTGCACTGGTAACATGAATGGGTTAAATGATCCATAGTACATAACATGTAGTTGTACTACAGATCATTTAACCCATTCATGTTACCAGTGCAGAATTGTAAATCTATTGCTGCAGTGCATTATATATGTAGTACATGTACAGATTCCAAATTCACTGCAGCAATAGATTAACAATGATCCCGCTAACATAAATGGGTTAAATGATCTGTAGTACAACTACATGTTATTTACTATGGATCATGATTTAACCTATTCATGTTAGCAGGGCAGAATTGCGAGCGCCTCCCACAAGCTGAGCACCGAGACGCGATGCAGCGATCCTGCCCAGCGCCGACTACAAGAAGCACCTGGTGAGGCAATAGGGATCGGAGTGAAACTGTGAGTGAGGGAAGCTGGGACAGGGCTGGCTGTAAATCTATTGCTATAGTGTACTGGAAGTGTGTAATGTATATGTAGTACATATATATTGCACACACCTCCACTAGAGCAATAGATTTACAATTCTCCCCTGCTAACATGAATAGGTTAAATCATGATCCATAGTACATAACTTGTAGTTGTACTATGGATCATTTAAAGTCACCTGTCCCTTTAAGAAAAAGTATCGGTAATTGGTATCGGCAAGTACATGAGGGGAATACTCGGTCTTGAAAAAGTGGTATCGGGACATCCCTAATGAGGACCTTTAAAACACAATGGGGGTAATTTCTCAAAACTGGAGTAGACAAAATCTGGAGCAGCTGTGCATTGGCAACCAATCAGCTTCTCTCTTTTATTTTCAAATCTTAACTCAACAAACTGAAGAGAGAAGCTGATTGGTTGCCATGCACAGCTGCTCCAGATTTTGTCTGCTCCAGCTTTGATAAATTCCCCTCATTTTTTCTGAACAATATAAAAATACACATCATTAATGTGACAGCTTTTTGATAGTGAAAAACCCCTCAAAATTAGCTGTAAAGAAGAGCATAACCAACCAGTGGTTTTATCAAATGTTTTATTGTACCTTGTTAATGAATTTGTAATAATAAAAATGTAAATTATAACAAACTTGTCTCTATAGTTTGATCTGGCACGTTGGTTTAAAAGCCTCCATTTCCATATTATAGAAAAATGTATGTACCTATCCTACCTGTTTTTTAGTATACGTAAAATATTGTAACTCACATCAGAATTCTGGATTTATTTTTAAATCTGACCTGCAAAAAAAGCTCCTACCTTTGTACCTGCTGGGAATGTTTCACAACAAATGTTCAGCTTCACAACAAGTTTTGGCAGGAGCACATGCACAACTCCCTTAGGTGACACTCAGCGATGTTACCCTATACTACACATAAAAAAAAATTTATCTAAGAGGCTAAAACTGTCGCAAGTGCTTTGATAAATTCCCCCCATAATGTTTAAGCCAGACAATGTACAGCCAACACTGGGGGAAATGGGTGCCATCAGTGAACATTGGTGGGAATTTATCAAAGCACTTGCGACAGTTTTAGCCTCTTAGATCATTTTTTTTTTAACGTGCAAATCTGTCTTTTAACATGTGCGCCTGTTTTCTTCAGAGCTTGCACTACTTTTTCAGTTGCATGTTTTTCGCACCTTTTTTGCACGTGTTTTCATCTGCACTTGTTCTGGGCTGTCTGAATTTGGAACATCACCTACGAAAACAATCACAACTTAAGAAGTCCCCATGACCACTTCAAGATGCGACAGGTAAGCTTTTTGCCTGGAGTTACAAGCGACAGGTAAGCTTTTTGCCTGGAGTTACAAGTCTTCTTTCCTGGAGTCTATTAAACCTCATTTATCAACAACATTACACTAGCTTGATAAATCTGGTGCAAATATTTTCTGTGCAAGTTCAAACACTCGCAACTGCTTTGATAAATTCCCCCCCATGTTTTTTGCACGTGTTTTCATCTGCACTTGTTAAACCTCATTTATCAACAACATACCACTAGCTTGATAAATCTGGTGCAAATATTTTCTGTGCAAGTTCAAACACTCGCAACTGCTTTGATAAATTCCCCCCATAGTGTTAAGAGAAACATGCAATAGAATACAACAGAGACTGTGTAGGAAGAGCTTCCAGACAATGTAGTGCAGACTTTAGAGGGAGACCTGCTAGAAAAGTTACCAGTGGAGAAATTGCTGATGCTTACATGCCAAGGCAAAAATCAAGTTTCAACCAGTAATGTTATTTGGACAAATGTTCTTTCATGCACCTCTCTCCTAAGCCAATTTCTACTTTATACTTCCACCTTAATTGTCTGCCTATGTTTCAATAGCGGGGAAAAAGACCTCAAAACCACTAAAGCCAATGAAGATTGGCAACAAATCTGGTCCTCAGCTGCTTCCTGTTCCATCAATGTGACATCTAAAAAAGCATTTCAGGTTCTCACCCGATGGTATATTGTCCCCTCTAGGTTGGCACATCTCATCCTTCCCTCTCTGCAGTATATTTTTGGGGCTACAATGCCATTGGAGATGTTTTGCATTACTGGGGGTCCTGCCCTATGCTAAACAGCTTCTGGTTGCTCCTGTGATGGAGTGCAATCTCAATACAAACTAGTAGTCCATCACTGGAGCCATTTTTTAAAATGTATTGTATTGTTTATCCGATTAATCGAACTTAATAATCGGCTAACTAATCGATTTTGAAAATAATCGTTAGCTGCAGCTCTAGTCTAAAGTATTGAAACTTCGGCACAACCTATTTCATTGCGCTATTCTGAAAGATCCCTGGCTTGCACTCCTCTACCTTAAGCCATTCTTTCTCACCAAATCCCAATTTGTTGATTTGAATGAGCCATGTGTAGGAATGTATCAATTGATGCCACATCGCAGGGATGCAGAGCCTAGCTACATTAAATAGGTGAATGGATAGGGATGATAGGTAGAATAGGGAGTGCACAATAAAATATCTCTCTGATCAGTGCTACATGCCTTTAGATTCTATGCCTTTCCTTAGATCAGGGATGTCCAAACTGCGGCCCTCCAGCTGTGGTGGAACTACGAATTCCAAGAGGTTTTGCAAGATTCTCACAGCCACAGACATGACTCCCGGAGAGAGATGCTTCATGGGATTTGTAGTTTAACCACAGCTGGAGGGCCGGAGTTTGGACATGCCTTTACTCAGATAATCATGTAGTACCAGACCACCCACCGCAAGGAGGTACCTGGAGATGCTCACCTCCACTGTATGTGCCAGTACACAAGCATTGATGGGAACACTACATTGTTTCTACTTACAGTGCACAGCTAGAAAACTAAGTTAGCAATAAAGTAAATGAGGATTTGTTGATCCTAAATGTTTAAACTACCATTGCAGTACAAATATTTGGTCATATGAGCCCTATGGGAAAAAAAAACCATATTAACAGATTTGTGTAGCCCTTTATTAGCAACTAAAATAGAAGGTATTTGTTGTACAACACTGGTAATAACCTACTATACATGGATTGTATTATATTCTAATACAGGATAAAGGATAATTTATAAATGCATTTTTATTTATTTTTTTTTATTAAAAAGCTTTCACCCTTTATTTTTGTTATAATTTTGTTTCGTTTTACAACTTGCAAAACTATTCTGAAAGCCGAGTACATGTGCACATATCTGCAAACAGTGCAAATTTAGGTTATGGTAAAGGCTAACTTATTCCATGTAACTAACTTTGTATAATCTTCTGCCACCACCTGCCATTAGTCTTCAAGGTCACAAACAGTTTGACACAACTTCTGATACTATAACCAAGAAAGAAATTCTTGCTTCGAATGGAAGGAAGAAAAATGATAGGACTACACCTAAAAAGAAAGGAAAGGGGATGATACAAACTGGGTTGAGCTTCCTCATAACCCCAGAGCAGAGCAGCACTGTTCAACTGCTTGGCTATGACCCCATGGACAGAAAGAAAACGTTGTGTCGGCATTGTGTTTCAAGGTGGCATCCCTGAGAGCTCAGTGCTTCAATGCACCACAAGTGCTCCAGCAGCATAACTCACTGAACTGTCCTGCCAGCTTCTGCACTGGCTAGACTGAGCATAGTTCAAGAACGAGAAGCTCATGTTAACTCCATTCCTTCGAAGCTCTGTTGCAGCCTTAAAGAGAAAGAATTGAGAAATAATTATTAATTAGAACATTATTAAGAGCAAAATATTATATATATAACTATGATAGACCAACAACTATGTCAACCAATAGATCTATAATTTAAAGAAGAACTTTGGGGAAACAGTTTATTAACCCTGCAAGAGTTAAAGTATGAGGTGAGTGCTTTTCACTCACCTCATAGTTCTAGCCGACCTGTGACAATGAGACTGTCACAGGTCGGCTCAGTAGATCGGGAGGTGAGTGAACACATACCGGCGTTCGCTCACCTCTCGATCCTGTCACGGCTCTCTGCCGTGACATGGGAGGGGTTGGATTCTCCCCTCTCTGATCCGCCAGCGCTGACTGGCGGAACAGACGGGGGAGGGGGCGGGTACAGCTGGCTCTGCCTTTAGATAGGCAGAGCCAGCTGTCAGTCACGCAGTTGGATGGATCCCGGCACAATTGTCGGGATCCGCTTCAGCGTCTCAGTATACTCACGGTATACTGAGCCTAGGGTGATGGGAGGACGCTAGTTTGTGTCCTCCCGTTACCCTAAGGAGAACTATGGAGAAAAGACTTAACCCCATGGTTCTCCTTTAACTGCTCATTTTTATCTAGGTGCTAAGTTACAGCATCCAAACTGCAAGCCAACTCCCTGCTTCACCGGTTACTGAAGTGTGTCTCCTTTGCTGCACACATGGAATGTTCCTCAGCATCCTCACGTCTACACACTTGTATAGAACATGATGACACAAGGCTGCAGAGGAGGGGGAGAAAGACTCTAAGGACCTGTCTAGGGAACAAGCCAGCTCGAACTATTAGGCATATCACTAATCAAGTATAACTATTTTTCTTAGTACCTAGACACAAACGAGCAGTTAACCCTTGCGGTTTGGAGGTCGCACACCACTGCAAGGGTTAATACAATTTTCCCCTGGGGTTCTTTAAAGGCATCTTATGTTGGCAATGCATGTTATCAATCTATCTATAATATTTCTGCACAATTTCCTTAAGGCCTTGTTCACACCAAATGCAGAGCAGATCCGCTCAGGTTTCTGCACACGCAGTGCAGTGGGTTGTGCCGCGTTTTTGATGCGTTCCGGGACATTCTTGGTTAAAAAAAAAGTTAGTTTAACATGGGCTTTCAGTGCGTTCCAGGCATTTGCATGCGTTTTTAATGCGTTTGCATGCGTTCCAGAGCAGGTAAAATAGGGCCTGCTGCAATTTTTTTACCTGCTCGCTGCGATGTGATCTGGAGCAAAAAATACCATTGGAATACATTGGACGCAGTTTTGGATCCTGTTCTGCAACTGCTCTGCACCTGCTCCACGCTTGGTGTGAACAAGGCCTTACAGTTAACAACAACATGTAATATAAGGGCCTAATGAAACCATTTCCATCCAATCTTGCCGAGCCTTGTGCTACATTTTTTTTTGGTAGATCAAAAGGAGACTGTATAGATTGTAACAAGTATGGTCAGCTTCAGACTGAAAAAGTTTACTATATTGTATTGCCTACTTCCTCTTAACATGAACATGGAAAACCTCCAATATCCCACCAGTTTTCAAGCACAATCCCACCCTTTCCAGTCTTCTGCACCCCTTAGACAAACATACCAGTAGGCACAAGAGATCTGTGTCAAATGGGTTCCTTACTGTTTGGCAGATAACTACTTTAGAGAAATCACTGGAATTAATGTTTATCTAACAGACTGCTGAACTGGTATTTCAAGGTGTTCTGCCCTCACTGGATGAACGCTTACCAATATGCGTTACTCAAGCTATGTAACTGAAGTTTAGACCCCTTTATGAACAAACCACAAAGTAAACCTACTGCAAAGTGAAATGTTATGAAATAACATAACCCAACAACTGAAGTAAAAGCTGGCGCCACATACCATTTCTTGAATGGTCTGACGGCACGGCGCCACCAGCAGACCCCCTGAATCAATTCTACATACTGCAACTTTACTACGCACTCTCCCCTATCCTCACATATCAATGTTGGGATCTGAATAAAGGTTATTGAGACACCGTGTGTACTGTAGGATGCAGATGGGGGTCAAGCATTTCTTCCAAACCTAGAGAATGATGGTTTAATATTGCTACAGGTTTGCTTAACCTCCCTGGCGGTCTGATTATCTCAGTATTTTTTCTGTTTTTAATTTAATTTGTTCACTTTTCAATTTCCCGCCGGTGCCGCCCCCCTGTGACACCAGCGCTTGCATGGAAGGAACCTGGAAGACAGATGACGGCATCGGCCTGGGGACACAGCAGGGCTCGTATGGACAAGGTAAGTGACACTACAGTGTAATCCAGAGTGTGGCTTGGGGTTACTGCTTTTGGTACTGAAAAGCCACACTCTGGAATACCGCCAGAAAGGTTAAAGAGATTAACAATGTTATCAATTTCCATTTTGAGCAAACTGCTAAAAAAAAAGCACAGTGCATTATACAGATTTTTAGAATATGCCTTCATAAACAAATTCATGTTTCCCAATATTCATGCAAATATACAACTTGCATCAATTCCAAATTGCTGGAGAAATATTTGGCTTACCAGCCTGCTAGTGAACAACATTTCACTCATCTCTAGAAGCATTTTCCCAACCAACCCAAAGAGAACATTTATGTATGTACACCCTTAAGCACTGGTGTAAACAAATCTCCTGATACAACAAGCTAATGATTCTTTTTTCTCCCCTTAATTTCTTTTGAGCTATACCGTAATACTCTACATCTCTGCCATAATTTGGACGTAGCATTTACTAGAGGTCCCTATGTAGTGTCACAGACTGTGATAATATTTCACTAGCACATGCTAGATGGAAATGACTTTGTGAAGACCATGTGGACATAAAAAATTCCAGATATCTTCGCTTTTGTGTTTCTGGCTGTTGCTCTTGTGATTTTAGTTGTACAGCAATGCAAAAAGTGTCCAACAGATTACAATACAGAAAAAAGTGAACACTAGTATTTACACAGGATGCTGTGCAATGTGCTTCTGTTGTACACCACAACATTTAATGTAACTATAGTTTGTGAGTCAGTCCATAACTCAGAGTGCAGTAAAACCTCTACACTATGTCTTGGAACCTAATCAAAATACAACTCAAAATATGCACCATGTTTTGTTCTTATTTCTGCTCATGGATAGAGCAGAGCTTGTGACTGTGCACAAATACACAGCTTCTATGCATCCAACTGTCCTGTAGGCTAAATAGTAAAACTCTATATTTCTGCTTCAGAAGTAGGTTGATAGGCACTTCTTCTGGCAACGGGTTTGAACTACGTTTAGAAGGGAAGTTAAGTGAAAATGTAAAAAAAAAAGTACTGACACGCAGTCTCTTCTGTCATATTAAGCTTGCCTAAGTCTTTTCAGTCATAGATCTTTCTTCCTGGCTGTCTGTACCCTGGAGCCACACATGTGCAGCTCAATGCACAGGCTCTGCAGATTTCCTTGACGAGATGAAGTAACTCCTGTAAGCATACGTGCGAGTTATCTCATCTTGCCCTGGCCAATCAAATTGCTGCAGACCCTCTGCACGTAGCCCATTATTTGACTGAAACATATCACTGAGGCATTATCTGACCTGATGTACTAAAACTATTGAATGTAAAATGTAGTTCACTGCATGCAATTTAACATCATACCTCAGTATCTATACCTGTGGTAGGCAAGTTGCCATTCTGCACATTGCTGATAGGTGCTTAATAGATATCAGCATTGCTTAGATGTTAAACTAAAGAAAAAAGCTGGGAAAAAGTTAAATAGAGTCTGCAGTACACACTGCATCGGAAGGAGACAGCAGAGATGAGCCATGGCTGGAAACATTTTGACAAGCAGCTGTACGGTGCCAAGGAGGCCAAACAGCAGAGGTGGAGAAAACAAAACAAAACTGGACTTACGGGACCCATGTGAGGTCTACGGGGATTCAGATGTAAGTGGCCATGTCCGTTTCCATCAGATTACCCCCGATCCGTCACAGTCAGGTCTGCCAAAAATGGAATTCTGTCCTGTTTTGTTTTCCTGTCCTTGATGTAGTCAGGGGTAATTGGATGTAAACTCATATACCTACGTTTAGACCAGGCAGCTCATAGACTAACATTGGACTTCCGATCAGATCCACCTTAAAAAAAACTGACAGGTGAACCTTACCGGACCACCTGTCTGAAAGGGGCCCAAGTGAAAAGGACACTACATTCCTAGCAACAAGAACAGGTATTTTCTGAACTTTCAGAAAACGTACTTGGCCTGGAAAATGAAAACTAATGCAGCTGTGAAAGAAATTACATTTCATGCTGTCCAGACTAACACTATTTGTTATTGTGAAACTGAATGGACCATATGCTCAGCTCTTTTCACTGGAAACCAACTCCAGTTAAAGCTAGTCTGGCCTTGTCTCGGGAGACCATGTACACACTAAATCTTCTATACACATGTATATAAGCTGAAAGGTTTTGTAAATAAATGGGAACCAGCTTTTCGACAAATACTGTCTATTCTCCTGTGATCACATCAAGCTGAGCTTTTTTTCCTCTTCAAGATACTAGCTGATTGCTATGACACAGCAATCAAAACAAAGGACTGGAGAACTGCAATAAATGACAGTTTTGTTCTTGCGTTTACATATACTTTAAAAATGCAAAGTAGAACTCGTAATTAGCGATTACAAAATGGGAAGCCCTCCACTTAATATCAGCGGCCAGGGGAGGGATTCACAGCTTCAGCCTTTCCAGCTTACAAAGAAAACCACATAAAAGACAACTGCCTGGGAGACCCCCATATTTCAATAAACCATTACTTTGAAGAATGGTCTCTAGGATATTAACCTAAAGGCTAATTATCTGTGCTTAATAAATCTCTAAAGGAAATACCGATAAGAAATACAGTACTTGGCTAAAATCTGATGGAAACATACCAACTGTGTGATAAGCGACTTTAAAATTATACAGGAAAAGAAATAACGTTTGTTTATTTTTTTATTGTGAGAAAGGAATATAGGTCTCTGTAACCTGACACATTTTCATATGATGTAGAGTATAATGAAAACCAACAGAGATTATAATCAATAGCGTTTATTTACTGGAATATGAGTAAAATACTGAAAAATAAGTGAACAGCAGTCATGATACTCACGTTTAATAACACCCCAATGGGGTGTCTTCCACATATAGTATTATGATACTTCTTCAAGTAATTACTAAATGGCACAGGATCTAGTTGTTCTATAATACTCATACCCTGAAAAGGAAGCAAAAAAAAAGTTTGTAAAGACACAGGTGTAGAAAATCTTTACATCCTTTACTTTGTGGACAGGTAAACTATTCAACAGCACCCACCAAAGGGTCCTTGCTAATGATAAAACATGATACCGCTATTCATAATGTTTTTCGATTTTTATCTTTAATTTGATGACGGTTTTTCTTTCTAACAAAAAGCATGCATTTTTAGTTGTACTTCTTCCTCCAATGCTAATGTTTGACATGAATCAGAACACCTATTGTGCATCTTCCTTGTATTATTTCAACCTATAAAGCTGGCCATACACCTATAGATTATCTGTAGATTTTCTGTGGTCAGATGGGAAAAGTGCAACAGATTCCTCCATCTACGCTAAACTGTGTGGATGGAGGAATCTCCCACTGGGCCAAGCTTCAGTATCTTGCCAGTCGTCCCCGCTGGCTGTCAAAATACCTGAACGATCTGATTGGATGCAGGCATTGTTCAGGTGTTTTGAGAGCCAGCAGGGCCGACTAGCAAGATACTGAAGCTTGGCCCAGTGGGAAATTCCTCCATCCACACAGTTTAGCGTAGATGGAGGAATCTGTTGCACTTTTCCCATCTGACCATAGAAAATCTGCAGATAATCTATAGGTGTATGGCCAGCTTAAGTTAGCTTTGATGTGTCAGGGAGGATATGCAATGAAAAGCAGCCATGATTTTACCTAACATTGTTTGAAAATGACTCGTAGCTACTTCCAACAATGAAGTGCTAATTACATAACACACTTTTCATGCTTTTGAGCATTAGTTGGTCAAATGAAAAATATTTTTTTTTTTCAGAAATAGAATGGTCTCTATGACGGCATCAACTAACAATGCAACAGGATGGAAAAAAAAAAACAGACCCAGACTGACCAAATTGCGGTTGCGGGGTACGGTCCCAGTGGATGTTTATATAATGGGCACCCATAACTCTGGTTACGCCACTGATGGACATTACGTGGGCTTGGAATACATAATGTCCATCAATGTACCCTGTCCTAATGTCCCCTGTCAGTGCAGAACCTAGAGGGGGTGGTGAGGGTGTCTGTATGGGGAAGGGGGGGCATTAGCAGGGGCACCACGGCAGGTTCTCTACTAAGCCCCTGCTAATGCCCCCCGAAGCTTCTGCATTGACAGGAGACATTACGACAGGGGACACTATTGGATATTATGTGGGCTTGGAATACATAATGACCATCGGTGTCCCCTGTCATAAAGTTCCCTGTCAGTGCAGAACCTGGGGGAGGTGAAAAAATTGCAGCGTTTTTGGGTCGCGACCCACGAGTTGAGAACCACTGACCTAAAGAAAACTGTCAAGCTGGTCTTAGAACATTTCCTAGAAAAGTAAAGCATTTGGGAAGCACAGGATATCCTTCTGTTGTTTACTATCATAAACAATTACATTTTGGAGAAATATAAAAACATAAAAATTACCAAAAATAAATATTTATAAATACACACACACACACACGTAAATATCTACTAGTGCATATGTAAAAATTGCTGAAAATTTAATAAAACATTCTTGAAAAAAATATCTACTAGTGTTTTAATGGGAATGCTTAGTGGTTTGGTATAGAATTCTACTTCATCAGAACTAAAAAAAAAGCATTTTGTATTCTTTTTTCAGTTAGCAGGTAGATATTTAGGTTTCTTTGCTTGATTTACAAGCTAGTTGTTAACAAACCTCAAAAGCTGAGATTTACACAAGTGGACAACTCGTCAGCATCGAATAAACCCTTTTCTGACAGTTTAGTTAGTTTCAGTCAGATAGCAAGTCACATTTGTGCTGTCCCTTTTGCAAACCCATAGTGCTCTGGGAATCCTTTTTCTTGTATACATATACAGTTTAAAAGGCATAAACATAATAAAAAGAACACTGACCAAAAACCATTATAGTTTCCCTTTAAGTCGAGAGAACCCATGTGTAAATATTCTGTAACAAATACTCCAGGAACAATATGCTTTTATGGTTTTAAAAGATTGCCAAATTCCTAATTCTGCAAATAAAAATACATTTTATTGCCCGCAGTAAAATCCCAGGCTCCACGCGTGACCTACAATTGATGTGAATGATCACGGCTGTTTAAACAACCTCACATGGCACGTAATCAAATACAATGGACCAATACTGGATTTACCAAAAGACAACATTACTTCATCAGGTTCAACCCCTTCATGACCAACGTAACTGAAACATTAATGATCTGATATCTGGAAGAAATAAGTCAAGGCAACTGGACTTGCTGTATTTTTCTTGAAGACGTTTGAAATGCTTTCAAGAAAAATACTGCAAATCCAGTTACCTTGTCTTATTTTTTCCAGATATATCATGACCTGGATGAATGAGAACCTTCACAGACTTTTTGCAGTTTTAGCATGTGTCAGTTTACCCAACAGTAAACCACTCTACAAAGGTACATTATTTTCACATTGTTTTTTAGAACATAGGTAGCCTACTGTTAGCAAGTATCCTGCATTTATTTTTATTCCAAGTAGACAAAATCAGCCAAAATGCTAAAGGGCTAATGTATACATGTAAGAAACTGACATTGTGAGAATAGACTGTGAGGAAGAGATGCAATCAGTCAAGCTTTTATTTGTGGTTTGTATACCCATTAGGAAGATTTTCTCTTACTTCCTGTTGCAGTTTTTCCATTGATTCTTTTTATGCAACCATACTGTCTATGCATTCAAATATTCCCTTACAAAATAATAATAATAAAAAAAAAACCAAATAAGCCAACAGGCCTACATCAAGAAGGAAATACTAAACAATTTATTAAAAGAAGCAGGCCAATCTACTAGTAAAGTAAATTAAACCAACTACTATAGAAAGCTAGCCAACAAATATATAAAGCTAGCCCTCCTTTAGATAATTAAAACCCAATACGCCAGTCCAGAAGCCTTGTGATTTTGAATTCTTGCCATCTGCTCCATTAGTGTTTACCACAGCTGGGATTTTCACTACAATTTGGCTCCTGACCTGGTAGCACAACTGAAATTCTATTTTCTACCATCAACTGTTATCAGCTGGGCCTCTAACCTGCTGCACTTTAGGTACCTACAAAAAGTGTTTATTCTTTAAAGCAAAGTCCATGAACCCATTGCACTTGAAAACAGCCGTTTCAAAGTAATAAAGGTGGGTGCTGCAACTGTCGACCGTGATATTTTGCTAGTAGAATATATAGAGATACCAGCACCCCAAATACGTCTGTTTATTGACATACGAGCAGCATAGTGTGATACACTCAATGTGATGTTTCGGGTTCTCACAGGATCCCCTTCATCAGGCAGAACAAGTGATGATTGATCTTGTTCTGCCTGATGAAGTGCCAAATCTTGCTGCTAAAAAAACGTAAATACAATGCAGATTGGAGGCTAATGTGACTTTGATGTGCGTGCGATAGCTTGGTTAAAATGTCATGAAAGCTACACGATATAGCATTTAAATTCATTATCAGCAAGTTATTCTAAAATTTATGGTAAATTCATGTTTGCTGGGTAATAAAAACCTATTCGTACTTCAGAAAGAAAAAACAAAACACACGGCTTACCATTCTGTCTAAGTTTTCAATTGACCTATATATTTCTCCTTGAGATTCATCATAATATGTATAACGAAATCGCTGGCCTAGAATATAACATAAAAACAATATCAAAATTGGTAACCCCTCCAAAAATGAAATAAAATTAATTTGAGCACAGTGTTGCATGGCGGAGTGATTGTCAGTCTAACACAGAACTGAAAAATGCCCAGGTAATAAAAGGGGTATACATAGGCTGATACTCAAGTGGTTCATAAACTCCAGGAAACTGATTTTACAGCAAGTAAACAAATCCTTTATCATCCAATAAGGATACAGAATTAACTTATTGTTAGATGATTGGGACATCCCCAAAAAAAAAGTCCAACTTAGGGATGGGCAAGAGTAACAAAACATTAACAGGCCTACATAATGGAAAAACAATAGAACTGTGGGCAGCCTGCAGATCAAAGATCTACCTGAAGGAACTTATGCCCAAATGTGGCATCAGATGAGGCTTCAACATCCCCCGTTAACTTATAGAACGTTTTTTACAGAGCACCAGGTGGCAGTCCTAAAAACCCGGGAAACAGTTGCTGAGAGCCAAGCGCATACAGTACGGCCTACATCCAAGCAATGAAGGGAAGTTTCCTTCTGGTGTACAGGAGCTGGATATAGAGATGGAAGAACAATGTCTTGGTTGTGATGCAAGGATGAAACTACCTTTGGAAGGAAGGTGGATCTAGGCTTCAGCACCACTTTGTCATTGTGTAAGATCAGAAAGGGTTCTTCACAGGACAAGGCAGCCACCATGCCTGGCAAAGGTGACGGCATTAAGCAGTGCAACCTGGTGAGTGACAGTGGAAAGGGAAATACCTCCAATAGATTCAAAAGGCAGTCTTTGAAGTGCCAACATATCGGGAGATAAGATTCCTCTGGTCAACAAGTCACCTGCATCGATGCTTCTAGGACTCCTCCACAACCCTTTAGGCTGGCATCCGCTGTGAGGATTTTCCAAGACAGTGAAAGGAGGGATTTGCCCAAATGCAGAGCTAAATTCCCGAGCCACCAGGCCAGAGATAAACTTCAGGTCTCCAGTGCCAGGTGAGTCAGTTTGTGCAGAGACTGATCTGATTTGTCCCATGGTCACAGAATGTTGTTTTGAGGGGTCTGTACTGGAACTGGGCATAGAGAACTGTCTCAAAGTAGGAATTCAAAACTACAGAGTTGGACGGCTCCTGGACTGTAAGGTCAGGTACTGGCGCCAGAGGTGACAAAAATCACTGTAGGTAGGCAGCAGAAATTAACAGAGGATCGGAGATCCACGGGGATCTTCTACAAGCAGGAGCAGCAATGGGAGGATGCTTCCTTGGGGAAAAAGAAAGTGTGACTACACCCAGTGCACCATTGTAGTGCTCAACCCCACAGCGTTAAGCCTTTACAAAGTGAAAAACGGAAACTGGGAATTCAAAAGGTGCCCAGCAAGCTTTGCAAAAGAGGTAGCCCCCAGATCCAGGCATGCCCCACAACATCCAGCCCAGTGGGGTCTGGACACGGCACTCCTAAATCCAGGTTGATGACAGTTGCACCAAATAGAGCTGGTCTCTAGGATTTCATCTAGCAGCAATGTAAAAAGTGTCCGGATTAAAGAAATATTCAGAAAAAGTGCTAGCAAAAAAAAAGGTTAGTCTTAACAGCAGAGCTGAAAAATAGGATGTTCTCCCTCCTAGAAGACTAACAAAAAACTGGAGCATGCTTGAAGTGGAAGGGATTATCCTGGGCTAGCCTACAATTTTTGCTTGCTAATGTTCAATCCCCCTACAGGCGCAGTATAACTCAAAGGTGAAAAACGTGTGATGTTCCCTAATGGACGTGAAAGAAATACAGATTTAAGGTGCTAACCTTATCTCTGCTTCACTGCCACTCTGTTCATCACCAAGACCGGAGAAAATGACTACATCTGGGTATGAAAGGAACATGTGACTTCACCGATTGGCCCAGTGCTGTCACACAGGGAGCCCATAGGACTGTGTAAGCTATTACTCCAGCAACCACAGGGTTTTCCTTTGCTTCAGGCAGCTGAATGAAGCAGCAAGGGGGTGGAAGGAAAGATTATGCTGCAATAAAAATAATCTGTTGCTCTGCCCATCATAGACCTCAGCATTAGCAGTGATCCGCTAATGATGACGTAAAGGTTGTTATACAAGTATGAACTGGCATGTAGTCCACATTTCATCTGCAATGTCAATTATGTTTATTCAATTTAAGGGAACACAAAAATTTAATATACACATTTTTAACAGAAAACACTGTATGATATGAACCTACACTTTCAAGTAGACATAAATGGAGCTTATTAGAAGGTATAAACTTGCATGGAAATACCAATGCTTTAGCTAACTTACCCCAGTGGCAAAAATCTGAAGAAATTACAAAAAGATTAGAAGGATCTGCTAAGTATTTGCTAAAAAGTTTCCCAAATTCTTGTTCCTTTGATTCACTAAGAGCTCCGACCAACACGGGAACAATGGTAAACTCATCCTTATGGCTGGGAAAAGAGAAAAGCAGAAACCAAAAAGTAAAAAATACAGGGTTACAGGACTTATAGTATTTTGAGCGAGAACAAATTCAAGCACTATGGGAAATGTAACAATTGCAGATTGAAAGAGAGCAAGCGATCATACAAAAACAGAGTATAAAAGTGTATTAAAGTCTCCCACTACACTGTCATAACCCAGTCATTTCCAGTTGTAAATGTGCTAATCCAAGTGATGATTCTCTTGATGGTGCTTCATTGAAGATTTGTTTGCCCCAGTAAAGCTTTCTCTCTATGTCCTGGTGTTGTCCAGCTATAATTTTCTGTGACTCTAGCACAGTGCTCAGGGATTGATTCTTAAAGTGTAAGTAGAACCAACATTTTTTTTTGTGGGATGGATGGGGGGGGCATTTAGTACGGAATGGATTAAAACCTCTGCCAGCTTATTTTTTGCGGTCTCTTCACCACTGAGGAAGTTTCTTTCAATTACTGTCCCGCAGACACAACAGTGAGTGAGACAAAATCTTCCAAATTGAGGAGAATTCCCATCTTAGACAGGTGTCACATTGGAAGATTTCTCCTTGGCTCCTTTCTGTGGACAAGTATCTCTAGGTTTAGCCTGGAGGAACACTTTTAGCAGTGTAATGCTACTTTTCTTTGACATTTCGGTTTTCCTTTACAATAATAACATTTAATGGCAAACCAGCAAGCCTGATTCTTATACCACCTGCAAGTGGTATCCCCTCTTTCCTCTCCATCTTTGAATCCAGCTGTGGTAGTACTTTGCTATGTATATTACACATAAAAGCAACTGATTGTTCATTATTTAGAAACAGAGAAAACTGAAAGCAGAATAGTGGTCCATCGACTTTGCCCTTTTTTTTTTTTCTTTGTCAGAGTACTGACCTATGTTTATCCAAAGCATGTTTAAATCCACTTACTGGTGACCAACTACCTTTGCTGGAAGACTGTTCTAAGCATTTAATTTGTCAGTAAACATACTCTCAAAGGTTAGTTTTCAACTTTCCTCCTAATAGTTTGAGGTCATGTCCCAGTGTTCTTGATCTCAGCTTATAAAATACTGCCCTCCCAAATCTTATTCACACCCTGGAATCAAATTTGACTACCGTTTGGTCAAGTATGCAGTATGACATTCTGTCAAAACTACATAAAAATAGTATTAAGCTACTAAAAAGGATTCCTATTCCTGTCTATGCTGCCATTGGAGATGTACATTCGCTGTTTGTTGCCAGCAGAACAGGAAGTGAGGACAAATCTCTTTAATAGTACTCAGGATAGCAGTAATACCTGACAGGTGTTCTACTCCTTCCCCACTCTACTGAAAGCTGAACAAAATTTGGATGAACATATATTTGAAAACCTTTAAAGTGTCCCGCTGGTAACTCTTCAACCAATATGGTTTGCTGAAGGTTCAAGAAGACATTTCAAATGAACAATTGCATTAGCACAATCCCTTGAAAAATTGGAAACAAATGTTCCTTTATTTGATCCCTGAGAAAAATGAAGCTGATGTACTTGTGACTGAGGTTCTGCTACATATTTCCCACTGCCTGTCATCTTTTTATGTGCCCACTGGAACTCAAAACATGTTGGTGGTACACAAACCACAGTCACTGTGGTCACATGGTGCTCATACACATTAACATCTACAGTAGTAGAATCACATTTCTGGTGTATCGCATACCTAACTATACCCAATTATTGTCTTTTTCCTTTTGCATTAGTTCCTATTGATTCCAGTTTACTACTTAATACTGGATGAAGGAAATGCTTTCTATGGGATTGCTGGAAGGCATGGAGGTAAGTAATATTCATATATCAGCACAAAGAAACCTGCACTCCATACAAAATAAATGGATGGGGTTCTCAGGGGAAGAATCAGATTCATATCGCGTTGAGTAGAATTACATGAAATCATAATAAAACACACCTTTCCATTGCTTTAGCAGTGTAAGGTAGATGCATTTCAATGCTGTGCTCATCTTCATCCGTTTGCATTGACATTCGCTCAAACATCCCAGTCTTCCACAAGTCTCCGTAAACTGGAAACAAACAAGACGGTTATTTTCCATACAGGCACACCAGTGACATGTCCAGACCAAAGTTTCCATGTAGCAGCAATAACATAGACTTAGTATAGCCATGGTTTTCTCTTTCATTTACTTTTCCATGTTGGCCTTAACAAGTATTTCTTCCCATAGAAATAGCAGAGAATGTTTTCTTAAGAGACACAGGCACCTTGCCCATGCAGGGAAAAGTGACAGTGTCTCTGGAAATGGAATTATTGTCAAAGGGTCCATTATATGTCAGAAAATTGATATTTCTTGCTATCCCAGTGCTGGTTTACCAAATTGAAACCTTAAAGCAACGTACTTTTTGTTCTGACATAAGGGCCCATTTACATCTATCTGCTCTGGTGTGTTACTGCGATGAACCAGGAATGCATTGGAGTATTGTGGTAACATTCATTCTCAATGCAATGAACCTCCAATGCACATGCTTGGAGTACCACAATGCACAGTGACGTACTATTGTACATTCTGGTGTGCTTAGGGGTGATAATGCATGTGAATGCAAAACGCACCGGAGCAGACAGGTGTAAACAGACTCCCAAAGCCCGAATCGAGTCAAACCTTTAAATGTTTCCTGCAGAGATTCTAAGCCTTTCCTACTTTGTCTGAATGTTATTCCTGCATCCAAAATGATCACAAGGAGAAAAACCAGCAATTTTTCAGGAGGTGCTTGAAACAAAGAGCTCCCACAATGAATTTGGAAATATACTGTAACATTCACTAGGATACTGACAGGTCTGATAGTGACATGCTACTTTATCCAACAACAAGCTGATGTATGATCAAACCCATGACCTAAAGCTGAAGTTTAATCTGCTTAAATATGTGTTTCCTGGTTCCTTCTTTCTCGTCACCAACATGCTAATTCATTTTTTTTTTACATAGAAATTTTCCATTTTCATTACACACCTTTCTTTGGACCCAGTGACATCATCACTGGGTCTCGCTGTGCATCTCTATGCATTTCAGTCAGATCATGGCTAGTGGGAGGGACTGGTAGGGTCTTGTACACTGAAAACATCAACACAGTGGGCTGGCTCTTGGGACCAGTTATGTAAATATCAAAATGCCTTGATGGGTGGGTGTCAGTATGGATTATGGGCATTCTTATGAAGGCTGCATTTGCATGCAGACTGCACCCACATATGATGCGGAGTCTACATGATTGCAATAACTGAAATCCAATTAATGGTAGGGGCAAGACAGGACATCTTCCAAAGAGGAAATGAGGCAGGCTTTAACTGACTTGCTGCAGCTTTTCGTGCACACTGTGCAATAAACAAGCTCACGGTGTGCAGTGAAATCAGAGTAAGCAGTTTTGGTACAGAAGAAGAGCATGTACTGTGCTATGTAACTGTTCAACACTGAAGCTACTGCTGCAAAGTTCAGCTTTATTGACAGCTGAACAGATTCTCCACATACCCTGTAATGGGACATGAAGCAAAAGGGAAACCTCCCCGACAAATGTTTACATTACAAGAAACATTAATATATGAAGATATCTTTTGTGGTATCTCAGTGGAACTTTAGTCTCCCATTTAAAAAGGAAAAATAAACTTATCTAATCCACCCCTAACCCTCCTGAAACTATCCTGTGCTATACACCCTCTTCCCTAGCTGCTTATTTTACTGTGCCAGAGCAAAGTTGCAATGTTAGACACTTAAGTCCTCAGAGTCATTAGGGGTCCTAATGGAAGCAGAAGTTGTTTTCAGGATGCCCCCATATAAGTCAAGGAGGGCTCAGTTTACCAAAGTGATATAACAGCAGTGAGGGTAAGTAAGAAACTGAGTGAGGGGGTTTGTGAAGGGTGGGGTAGGGGATTAGAGAAACTTATTAAAGTCAAATTATTTTATAGCAATATAGTAGGTGAACAGCTTAACTCATAGCTAAAATACATATCATAGTATATCTGTACCATGTCATCTGATACAGATTTGTAAGTCAATCAGCCAATTTGTGATCAAGAAACCCTGCCAGACTGCATAGCCAGTCTTTTGTCCAGTTGTTCCTCCCTCTGCAAGTCTGTGACATTCTGTGCATGGAATTACAGGAGACTAAGGCTGGCCATACGCAGGAATTCAGTGTGTAGCCGTGTTGCCTTAACAAAAAGTCAATTACTCATTTCACTTGTTTGCAGAAAATTTTTAGCCGAGCAGTGCCTGCACTAATCAACTGCTTCACTGTTAAAGCTTTTTCACAACAGTGGGCGCCGGCTGTCATAGTACCAAAGCGGCAGCAGGAGATTCGTCCATCCACGCTCAGCCTGGATGGAGAATTCTGGCCATATACCTGCAAGCTGAAGAAAAAAAAAAAGGAGTGTATAGCCAGCTTAATGCAAATACAGATTGCTGGATTACCTAATAATACACTTAACAGTGATTTTCAGAATATATAACATATACATGGGATACGGTTGCTCAAGTGGCTGGTAAACTAGAGCAATCTCAACCATACCTTTCTGATCAATATGGAGGTCATAGAGGGGTGTTCTATATATATCCACAGTGGAAAGTGCACATCTAGAAAGAGCCACATGGTGAGATGGACCGAGAATGAAAACTCTTCGCCTGTTTTAAGAGCAAAAAAAAAGAATGTCAGCTTAGTAATCTAATATAAATAATTAAAAATAGCATATAGATACTAACAACTAGGCAATCAAACTAATGGTTCAGTGCAGCCTCAGAGACATATGTATGAAGAAGTGAAAGTCAAATCTGGTGATTTTTATTTGTGTAATAATCCAGGTCAAGTATGGCAATGCTCCTGTAATGTTACAACAGTTACATATATAATTCAATATTGGTAAAAACAAGTCCAGTTGCAAAGCGTGTGCGTCGCTGAAAAGTTTACTATAGCACACAGGTACACATGGTCCCACTGTGGATCCTCTTCACTCTGACATGTTTCACCCAATAATGGGCTTAGTCATAGAGACATTCTCTCCAGTGCTGCTGTGAGGGAGCGGCGATATTGGGCTATGGAAGTTAGTCAATACGGGTAAAAAAGGAAAAGTATGTTGCCATTGTTCTTATGAAGTTTATAATGTTGAATGATATTATCTATTATTAGTATGATATTTAATATTTTTTATTAGCTCTGGAGCAGCACATACGTTTTCTTTAGCTTTCCAGCTTCGCCATGCAATGTGGTTAATCACCAACTACTTGTACTGTTACATGAAGTGAGTTGCATGCTCCTTCTACCAATGCTATGACAACTGAACTGCGTGGATACAGTGGTGTTCTACGAGCACTAATATATCTGCTTATTGTATCATTTTAATAATAATTAATAACCTTTTTTAATTTTACCATCTGCTGAATTTTGAAGTCAAAACATACCAGCTACTGTGGTTCAGTAAACTTTATTGCTGAACCACAACTTCTAGATTCTTACTTGTTGGCTTTAAAGGCTTGCAACCCTGCAATAGTAGTATACAGCGGGCGGATTGCCTGGAGCAACTTGCTATTTATTGCTCTAACCAATTTAGAGAGTTTTAGCATGAAATGTGTACTTCAAGCCAGAAAGCTTGTTAGGCTGTATATATTTTTTAGTAAGAACCAGAAAAGATGCTCATTTACCATTCTCTGTGAAAGCAATAACTTTATATGTAGCACCAAATTCTAAAATTCCTTGATACTATGTGATGCCAACACTGGGGAACAGGAGACGGTTACTGCCTCCCAGGGTCTTTTATGTTAGCCCTTTCTTCTCCATTGGATCCTTCATATTCTAATTTCTTTGACCCTTTTGGAGTTAAACAGCTACATTGGCTGGAAGAGTTGAAAAAGAACCCCAAGACTCTGGGACACCTTTCCTACATCCAACCCTGACAAGGACTATGAAGCTATTAAAGGATGGGGGAGCCAGAATAGTCTACCCATTCCTGTCACTTGTGCCTTGTTAGAGGTCAACCTATCCATCAAGTTTGCCTTCATGAAATGTAGGGGAAATGCTTGTTATTTATTTACAAGGATAGTTGGGGACTGGGTTTGTTCATTACATAACTAAAAGAAGAAATTACATTTTTAAAAATAATATTCAATTTTAGAGTGAAAAACATAATTTAGCATTAGCCAATAAACATAATTTGTTATCATATGCAACTTATTTCATGCAAAAGATAAAAGGAAAATATCATCTTGTATCAGCAACAAGTCATTTCAATTCTTTTTGCGTACAGGCTGACATCTAGTGGTGAATTACATGTATAGCAGCTGCTTTCCACATTGAATTTTTGAGCTATCGAGGCATTTACCAGGCGATATGCGAGTTTGACTAACTTTCACCTAATTTGCAGGGCATTTTTTTTTTTTTTTTAAATAGCTAAAATTTCCCAGAAAACTCCTCTAATGATGTTGAGTGTTCTTCTATTTTTCTGGTCTGGAACGGACTGCGCTGGTGTGAACAGAGGCCAGAAATAGCATAGAGATACATTAGGATGCATTTTGGGTCCGGAAACAGTCTGGTGGTAATCTGGATGTGGTGTGAATGGACCCTTAAGCTTGCTGTACACATTGCTTTTCAGACTTGTCATTACAAGTATTGAAGCTGTGTGAGCTAGGTCTAAATGATCTATCCAGCAGTACCCAACCAATGTTTTGTGTGCCATACATAGCTCTCGGCTAACTGGAATTACACCCAGAACCTGGCTACACTCAATGAGCAATTTTAAAGTGTATGTAACTCTCTATTGATAATCTTCTCAATGTTGACTTCTTTTGGTCAGTAAAATATAATCAGTTCTAAAAACACAAAAAAAAAAAAAGGTTTCTGCTGATCCTGGCAGAAATCCAGTGCTGCCCCATATACTCTTCAGTCTTATCTCAAACAGTGTTATTCCTGCCCTGTTCCCTCCTTGACTAATGCCCCCATGATAAAGAAGAGAAGAGGGGGAGGCATTCTGTACTTCTAACATGTCCTGACAAAGCAGCTCCCCCGTAGATACAGTACAATGAATGCGTATTGTCACCCTAGGACAGGAAATGTGGTACTGGCAGGATCATGAGGTGAAACTAAAAGGGAGAAATAAATGAACAAAACTAAACACAGACAACACGTACACCCAAGAACTCAAAAACTGCAATAAATTCAATTTTCATGCTTGGAATTTGATGTATTTTAATTCCATGCTACTGAGCAATTTAACCGCTTGTTCAATTCCAGTACATTGGTTGATTCCAATCAAGTGAATGCCAATAAGAGGCTAAATTGCTCAGTAGCAGAAGATTAATACTGGTATGTAGCAGCATCATTAGTCGGCATTCTATGCTTTATAACCTTTATATGAGCATACATTTTATTTCAATGTCCAACATATGGCTTAGAAATATAGCAGGACTGTATGTCACACCTGATGGGCTGGATTTTTGGGGCTATAACCTATTTTGGTGTTGGTTATGTGTATCAATATGCAGGTCTGTAGGGTAAAAATAATAACATGAGTCTGCTGGAGGACTGAGGAGGGAAGGCAGTACCAACTTTGAACAAAGGATCTCAGCCAGTTGACTTTATGCTGGTTTGTAAGACGCATTTGCCAGAAACTGAATTTGCATATGCAAATTAATCTTTGCAAAACCATGACAAAGTAGGTAAAAAGTGTTTACAATATTAAGTCATAGTGGTATACAGGTAAATGGACAAAAGCTCTACAAAAAAAAAAAAAGAAATGTGTGTAGAAAGTTTCTAATGTTAGCCTCTAACAGCTGGTATGGCTGACTCAGGGGTGTGGAAATTTTTGAAAAAAACTACTTGTCCAAGGGCTAAAGCGGGGGCCAAATCTACTTGTCCTTCAGAACAATCTACTTGTCCTAATACAAAAAAAAAAATTGTTTTAATTAAAACTAGGGATGCACCAATACCGCTTTATGGGTATAGAGTACGAGTACCGATATTTTGCTTTAGGTACTCACCGAGTATCGGTGCTTCCGTTTGCATCGAGCAGGCTTCCCGGGCAATCAGGAAGCCGGGCAGCGGGTAATGAGATGCTACCCAGCTTCCTGACTACATTGTCACTTTTTTTTAAATATAATTAATTATTTTTTACTTTTTTATAACTTTTTTTTTTAATTTTTTACCCCCACCTAATTTTATTGTTATCACATGGGGATTTAAAATCCTCTAAGTGATAGTTTGGAGGTGACAGGTTCTCTTTATGGAACCTGCCCTCCCAACACAGAACTGATGTTCTGTGTAGTTCCTGACAGCTGAGACAGGTGGCGCTGTGATCACAGCGCCACAGTCTCAGTGATAACACAGAGCAGATGAAAAACTGAAGTTTTTCGTCTGCTCTGCGGGCTCTATGGTGAGCTCATGTTCCGTGGTCTCGGGTCGGCCAGAGGAGAGGGGGATCACGAAAAGCACAGGGGGGGGAGGGGCGCGGTGTGGACAGAATCGCTTCTCGTTTCATTCAAGTGATCTGATAAATGATCAGATCACTTGAAAACGAGCGGCGGCTCCACACTGTACACTTAGCTCTGCTTGTCCGGAGCGGGGCTAAGTGTACAAAAAAACTACTCGCCCGGCGCCCGAAACTGCATGTCCCGGGCGTCGGGCGATAGGAATTCCACACCCCTGTGATGAAAGGATACAGGCTGGCTAATGCAAGCAACAATAGGATGTCATCTTTTAAATATAGAAAAGCAAAGTATTTAAAAAGAACTTTATCCTCTCTGTTCATCATTTTTTAACCTTTGCATTGGTAAAATTTACAGCTGAGCGAAAGAAACAAAGGGAGTTAGTAAAATCCTTTTCTTAGTGATAATAGAGGGACACAGTAAGTTTTTTACTTTCAGGTTATATGGTTGCTTACAGGGAGACTGGACATTGGCATAAAAAAAAACAAAAAAAACAAGCCCAGGATGACTCCTCCTTATACCAGCATGCTTCACTTTTGTAGCAAAGCAGTTTTGAGTGCATGATCAAACACAGAGGTTTAGGACCCGAGTCCCTCAATGGACCCCCAAAAAAGGATTTCATGGCGAATACAAAAAACCTATTTTCTTTCTTGTCCATTGAGGAACATGCAAAAGCAGTCCAACTAAGTGGTGGGCAGCACAGCAAACAAACGCTAACAGATCCAAGAAATCAGAGAACTGGGGACTGCTGCAGCATAAAGAGTTCCCTGAAGGACCTTACACCCAAAGCTGGCATCAGGTGAGGCCACAAGGTCCGCATGGTAGAACTTAGAGAACCTGTAAACAGAAGACCTGGTGGCAGCCTTGCAAAGCTGGGAAACCATTCCTTAATGTGGAAAAGCCCACGAAGCCACCGATTTACAAAAGTGTACATAGATCAGAGTACAGAAAAAGGTGGCATTTTTCCACCTTTTACGATTATGGTCTGCCTAACTCACCAAGAAATGGTGGAATGCAGCTGGAGCACTCTTACAGGGTCCTTTCAGGATTACAAAATGGGAATCTGTCTTCCCGAAGGAAGCAGTGGCTGAGAGATACTCTCACAGCCTGAACCACACCTGGAAAATGGAGGGAAATTTCTCTTTAGTGAACTGCAGACAGAAAGAGGGACAATGTCATGGTTGAAATGAAAGGCAGAAAGCATCTTAGGCAAGAATTCCTGGGCCTCAACACCACCTTGTTACTATACAGAACAAAATAGGGTTCCTTGGAGGATAAGGCTGCCAGCTCATTTGCCTTACAGAGGTGATGGCTGCAAAAAAAGAAACCCCCTCACATGCATGAAGGTAGAGGGAGTAACGTCTATAATGGGTTTGAGCGGTAGTTTCTGATTCAATGGAGTAACACAGATCCTCTGCACAAAAGTCACAAGAGCCAGATGCTGGTCAAGGTCCAGCTGTGAGGACAGAATCTGTCCCATCGAGAAAACTACTAGAGTGGAAGCTTAAAAAACTTACACAAAGTGAAGTAAGCCTTCCATGTCTGATTATTTACCTTGTGAGAAGAAGCCTTTCTAGCTTTTAGCATCATCCAGTGGGGTCTGGATGTGGTACTGTAAAAATCAAGCTTAGGACGATTATGCCAGAAAGCTGCAATCTAAGTGAGGAAGCTCTAGCATGTACATATGCATGTATGCATGTATGTATGTATGTAGAGAAAGACTTGACTGAAGAAAAAAATAACTTGAGGGTTAAAAACTTCCTGCGTCTCTCATTGGACGAGAAATAAATGCTATTTCAGCATTCATCCATCAGTGTTCCTAATGTATTAAAAATGCTGAGACTTGCAACCCAGACTTTTAATAAAGAGGGGATTTGCCAACAATAGATGTGACTATACTGACTTAATGCTGGACAATGCTTTGTGTTACTCAAATATGGCAGCCTAGGAATGGGTTAATGAAGCTACACTTTTGGCACATATGGAAATTAAACGAATTTCTAGTCACTTGAGAAACACATGACAAAGCTGTTCTATTGGTTATGACCTATTATAAACACGTTAAAGTCATGTAATATACATGACACATGACTGTAGGTAATAGAAGACATTAGGCATTCATTTGTTTTGTACATGAAAGGACTGTAAGCCAATAAAGAAGGCATTGATCATTTTACCATTTCTCTCTCTTTTTTAAACTGTTTTAGGACTTTTTTTCTCCAAACTGCTAGTTATGGAACACATGAAAATAGAGACTCGACAATCAGACCTGTCACGCTACCTATGAACTACAAAAGTAATAAACATGACAAAGGCGTGATCAGAGGAAACTTACGTAATGGAAGGGTCTACTTGCTTGTAGGCATGAGCAGCACTGGATCCACAGTAGGTATATCCAGCGTGACTATTTAGGAATATTTGGAGATAACATTATTATTTATAACATACAACAATTTATTTACATTTTAACTCGTCAACTTTTTTCATATTTTCATTTAAACCTCCCCCTCTCAAACTCAACTCTGACAAAGCATTAAAGTGACATTAAACCCTCAGATTTTTTAACATAAACCAATACTGTAATGTGTACCTTACTGTAATCCATGGTTGTTTCCCTTCTCTTTGCTGCTCTTCCTTTTAAATCCTCATTTCTTCTCATGCTCTGCAGAACTTCCCTTTGCAGCTTAGTGCCTCTTCCTGTAGTGCTGGCTCAGGTTGTGAACCTACACACAGACACCATGTATCCATTTCAGAGACAAGGCAGTCTGCTGCAAAACAGAAGTTCTGCCCAGCATGAGAACAGATACAGATTTAAAAGGAAGAGCAGCAAAGAGAAGGGAAACAACCATGGATTACAGTAAGGCACACATTACAGTATTGTTTTATGTTAAAAAATCTGAGGGTTTAATGTCACTTTAAGGCAAAACCATTTTAATGTGTAGGCAGAATATACTAACCTCCTCCCGTGACCTAAAGCTCAGTATATAGTGAGCTACAGCTTGCTATATACTGAGAGAGCCGCAACCGGGACGGATCCCGACAATACTGTCGAGTTCCACCCAGCTGCTTGAGTGACAGCGGGCTCTGCCTACCTAGAGGCAGAACCAGCTGTGACCACCCCTCCCCGTCCGTTCCTCCACTCAGCTCTGGAGGATCAGAGCGGGGAGGGAGGGAATCCCTGCGGGGAGCGGTGACAGTCACCGCTCTCGGCAGGGAGATGACCGAGAAGTGAGCGAGCAACATTATGTGTTCGCTCACTTCCTGATCAATAGAGCCGACGAGTGACAGTTTGAATGTCACAGGTCGGCTCTAATGATGAGGTTGAGTGTAAACCACTCACCTCATAGTTCTCCTTTAACTGTGATAAAGCTATTACTGGTTCACGTTTTGCTTTCTTCTAGCTTTATACAAAAACAGGAACATTGGAGCTAGAACCTCTGCCAGATTCGTAGCATTGTCCATTTCCCCATCTTAAGAGAGATTTTCCTGTCATGTGACATCCTGCAAATTAGGGTATGGCAAGGACACCAATAGCAGAGATTGCACTCATCCCCAGAACGTCTAAAACCTAAAATGTGGGCTTGAGATGGGTTATAAAGAGATCATAAACTGGCTTTAGAAAAAAGGTACAAAAGTACTGCATCCTGATTGCTAGGCTTGTACAGTATACATTTGCAATGGATATATTTTTAGTACATGCAGAATCATCATCCAGCCTTTCATCTAAAGTACAGCAAGACTTCTAGTATCTTCAAATGAGAATACTCACGGTGCAATAATGGCTCTTGCAGGTCTTTTTGAAGTTTGTGCTTGGGACAGCCAACTGTCCAATTGGGAACTCAGCTGGGGCCCTAAAATAATCAGAAACCCTTAGCTGTCTCATCACACTGAGAAAACAAATTAAGCTCTGCAAATGAGAGCGCAAAAAATAGGAAATGGTAGGCCAACGTTTACAAAATGTTTCCTCGGGTACAACCAACTAATAGGTACCATACTCTGGGAGAAATGTGTGTATTCGTTGGCAACATTCTAAAAGTAGCAGGCTACTTCACTGAAGAGAAATACATTCCATGCACAATCAGTGGTACCAAAGAAGAGATTTTGAATTACAGTGGTCTCAAACAATGCAAATGTAACAGCAATGATGCATAAACAATGCCAAACAACCTAAATGAGGGATTACGTGTTTAGAAGTTCAAGAAAGATTTTATACTTCGATAACATGCAGGAGTTAAAGAGAAGGCAAAGTAAAAGAAAAACCCAGGAAGTTCAAAGTTGCGCTAGCTTCTCCTTCCCTCACCTCCTGGGCTATTGCAGAGCGGCAGCGGCAGGTTTTGTGACCCTTAGCTGTCTAAATCAGCCTAAAGCCACCAGTGTGCATCCCAGACATGTGCCTGTAGTAATAAGTGAAGTTCCTTCATATAGATCACTTGTCACAAGCTGTAGGTAGGATTACAACTGGAGCATGATGGCCCAGTACTAGATCAATTGAGAAACACTAGCGATGACTTGATTTGTGCATGTAATGCTCTTTCTGTACCACATATACTTCACCGAAATGAAGAATGAAACATTACAAAGAAGTTACTGATGCACGGCTAAAGGATGATCAGATATCTCTAAAAACATCAGGGGAGGGAAAATGACAACCTGTCCTTGCTTAAGTCTATCGAGTGCAGAGACCTGCCATGATCTTTGCTCTATGCACACTGCTGCATACATTCAGTTTAACTTAAAGGGTAATTCCACTTTCCCAAGGGAATTTTGGAAAATAGAATTACCCTCTCCAATCTGTTCCCCTCTTCCTAAACTTACCTTTGGGCAAGCGTTTCTTACCATCTGTGGTGTACTATCCGTACTCAGTACTGCTGTGCAGCGCAGCCCTGAAATGGTGAGCTCTCATTGATGCGTACGGACAGTTCACCGGCAACAGCAGAGGAGAAGGAGCGTTCGCCCAAAGGTAAGTATAGCAAAAGGGGGGGAGGGGGAGAAGGGGTAATTCTATTTTCCCAAATTCACATGGGAATGTGGAATGACCCTTTAAAGAACTCCAGGTAAAACTTTTATTAACTGCTTGTTTTTTGTCTAGGTGTCCCAAAAAAAAAAAGAAGAAGCTGATCCGCCTCAGCATCCTCACGTCCTATACACTGTGTATTAGACGTGATGACTTATAGGACCTTAGACCACTGCAGCGGAGGGGGAGAGAGGCTGCATGGACAGGTCTAAGAGAAGGCCGGAATGACCGGTCTAAGGCCTAGTTCACACCAGCCCCAGTGCGTTCCGGCCCGATTCGGTGTCAGAACGCACCCCTTCTGACTCACTGCGTTCTGGGGCAGGGCATTACATTGAAGTCAATGGCGATCGCACGCACTGGAAGCTTGGCTGCGTTCCGGTGCGGTCAGAAAAATAATGCATGTAGCATTTTTTTTGACCGCACTGGACCGCAATGCAGGCATTGATGTGCCACGCGTTCCGGCGTGGGCGATCACACTGCAGCCTGGGAGCGTGGCATTGACTTCAATGCACCACCACACCCCTCCCGCCCCAGAACGTGGTGAGCCAGCCGGAATGCAAACCAGTGCGTTCCGGGCACCAATTCAGCCCGTAACGCACGGGGCTGGTGTGAACTAGCCCTAAGAGCAGGCGGCTCCGCAGTTCAGGCGAGTATAGCCTAGACAAAAACAAGCAGTTAACCCTTTACAGTGCCTAGGAGTAGCCCGACTGCAAGGGTCAATAAATGTTTTGACCAGAGTTCTTCTTTAACTTTCACTGCTGAGCCCTGCCTCCAAGGAGACTTTTTTTTTAGCACATGGGTGTTCCCAGATGGATTAAAATCCAGAACCCAGAGCCGCGCTATCCGAACAGGTTTCATTTAAAAGCACTGGATCACATATTTTGCTCTCCCATATCATATACATTAGGAGAAAAGGGGCAATTTTACAGTGAATTATTCAATGCAAGATACAGAGGACACATGAAGAACCCAAAATGATATGTTCAGCTCTAATATTCCTTATTAAAGTCTATGCAATTTCCTGTGATTCCCCTGCAGCATGTTTACATTTCATTTCTGCTGACTTTCTCATTGCTCCTATATTTCTACTCCAGTTTTTATTTCAATATACACTGAGTGGCCAGATTATTATGACCACCCCATCAGTACTTCGTTGGGCCACGAGATGACTCCACAAGATGACTTAGTTGGGCCGCCTCCATGGGCTGACTCCATGAGATGTTGAAAGGTGATGCGAGGAATCTGACACTGCACTGTGGCCCTTCTGTTGTCTTGTACCAGTCTTGCCACTCTCCGTTCTGCCCTAACATTGACTAGTTGCTGACGGCCACAATTTGCACGTTCAGACCCAGATTTTCCGCTGACAGACCAGTCTTTAAACACTTTAACAATGAGCCTCTCTTGAACATTTAACGCATTCTGCTGTTTTGCTGATACTCGCTTCATGGCTCCGAGCGCCAACAATCATCCCACGTTCAAAGGCTGTTAAATTGCGTTGTTTACCCATATCTTCAGAAGCAAATCACTTCTACTGTCGTTGTAAACAACCTGCTTCCCTATTTATAATGGTCTGGCCCTCTAGTAACTTCAGCGCAAAATTATAGCTAATTTGCCTACAAACGTCAGGTGGTCATAATAATCTGGCCACTCAGTGTATTTTTCTTTTTAAAAGCTTCAGTCAATTACTGATTGTTAAAACCCATTTCCACCTTAAGCAAAAAAAATAAATAAATATAGCCCCACAGCTGTTAAAAATGAGAAAGCAGCTCCAACTGCTATAGTCACCTGATCACGCTGTCCCCCGCAGACTCATCAGTCCAGTGATAGGGCGCCACTCCTCTTCCGGGCTGAAGGACGCCCAACATCCTTGAACCCAGAAGAGGGTGAACAGGACCGCTGACATTACTGCACAAGACACCAAAAAAAAATAAGACAGATAAATGTAAACAGATTTAATTTTTTGAAAGGTGCCAAACGTGCTCCAAAGTGGGTGCGGGGCTGGAGTTAAAGTGATACTAAAGTCAAACATTTCTTAAAGTGACATTAAACCCTCAGATTTCTTAAAATAAAACAATACTGTAATGTGTGCCTTACTGTAATCCATAGTTGTTTCCCTTCTCTTTGCTGCTCTTCCTTTTAAATCTGTATCTGTTCTCATGCTGAGCAGAACTTCTGAAACTACCATGGATTACAGTATTGTTTTATGTTAAAAAATCTGGGGGTTTAATGTCACTTTAAAGGGGTTCTAAACTCTCCGTTTTTTTTGCTTATATCGTGTGGAATATAACATGGGTGCAAAAATGGAAAAAAGGGCCTCAGTCATGAAGGGGTTAAGCTTACAATGGATGCTGCTCCCTGATGTTTAAGGGCCCATTCAGTCACAACACATGTGCTGGCAATTGTTTTCAGCGCAGCTCCAACACAAGCCAAACAATTTGCCTCGTCACTGATGGACACTTTCTCACCACTGCGTTGTGGTGGGAACATGGAGTGCGTTGCCTTACTTATTTTCAGCGCAGTGGGATGTGATTCGCACCCTGCTTTGCCTGTAGAACTGAATGAAATGTCACTTGTGACATTTCAGTGCCGGGATCGGCGCGTCCCTCTGTGTTGGGCATCGCACACCAGCTGCTGCGCGTTTTTCACAGCGGTTGGTATAAAAGTTTTAGTTCCTGCAGAATCAGCTGCTCCCCTAAACACCGGCACTGATATACAGTTTTAGGGTGGCACATTTACCTTACAGGGTCCTATGGAACCACCCTTGTGTCCACTAGTAAGCTGTGTGCGTCTCCACAAACACACAGGCACAGCAAGGCAATCTACTTGCTCCCTTGTCTCATCTCCAAGCTAATAGATGAACACTGCTGGAGACTGATCTGTACCTTGTGATCTTGTACAGGACAGGAAGTTCAGGGAAAGAGGCGAGAGAGTTGGAGCCAGTTGTTCAGAAACATGACGACTAAGTTCTTGTGTAAAATGTAAAAGAAATACTTTGCTGGGTAGTGTACATTTGTTTGATCTGGATTCATTATCGTGGATGTAATTGAATGCTACTTTAAGGTTTAAACAATGTTGCCGTCACTAATGCCTGTTGCTTTATATTTATTTAGAACCCAAAATGGGCATTGGACGCTTATAACAGAGAAGAGATATCACTATCTGCTCTTCATTATACCCCACAGTAATACTGAATACCATGGAATGCTTATTGTGGCCATTCATGAAATGAATGCAGCGATACTGATCCTGTAGTATGCTGCAGATTTCTCTCCGCTTCTTGCAACAGAGACACTCTATGATTTCAGGAGATCGACACGAGTGGGCTCTCCTGCCGCTCTTTGCTCCCCACACAGTGCTTCACTGGCTTTGGATCCCCGAAGCCAGCGAAGTGTTAAGCACCTTTGTAAAGTACATTGTTGTCCTTAATAAATGTCTTTTTTTTTTTTTTTAAACGGCAGCAGCATGGCCAAGTTAAATGGCCCCTTCAATGTAAAACTACCCCTACCCTTTTCCATTATTTGCTGCAATGCCGAGAGACAGATTTCTAAAGAGTTATCTACAACATTCTTTTATATGTTTCTAGTAGGGATGCACCGATACCGGTTTTTCGGTATCGAGTACATGTACCGATATTTTGTTTTCTCGGTACTCGCCGATACCGAATACCAATATCGGAAGACCCATTAAGGAAGCCAGGCAGCATATAATGACTCGCCACCTGGATTCCTGATTACCCGGGAAGCGTGTAAAGACTCGCCACCCAGCCTCCCGATTAGCAGGGAGGCCGTCTCCATGCATCCTCATCACCAGGTGACTAGGAAGCAGGGAGCTGGCTTT